CCGACCTGTCGATTCGATGCTGGGCTCTCCTGCCCCCCTCCACCCGCGCGCGCGCGCCCAGAGCGCGACCTACTGCTCGGGCGCCATCCTCTCGAACGCCGACAAGGCTTCCCCCCGCCCGCCGGCCCTGCGGGCGCCCTCCGGGGGGCCCAGATCCCAGGCGATGTCAACACATTTTTTGCGACGGTTGGACCCCACATGAGAATCCGATCGGCTAGTCTGGAAATAACCTTCATCGTCGTCCTCGTGATTTGTGAGGCGCCCTTACTGTCTCCTCTCCTTCTCGCCCTGGTGCAGGCCCGAAAGTGACGACAGTTACACGATTTGGATGACCCGCTCGCATTGGTAACATGATCTGCAGACCCCATAATTTGGGAGGAGGCTCCCGCCTGAGACTTCTTCACATTTCGCTCACGGACGAGGCTCCTGCACAAAACTTCCTCCAGATTCAAGGCTCAGGGGCCCGCAATTGACGACATTTACAGGATTCGGATGACCTGCTCGGATTAATAACATGATCTGCGGGCCCCAGAAAGGGAGGGGTCTCCCGCATGAGACTTCTTCGCATTTCACTCACGGGCGAGGCTCGCACCACAGCGCCTGTGCACACCACGGCGCCTGTGTACACCACAGCAACTTGTGTGCAACAGAGCGCCGTTACTGCATACATTATGTTAACAGGAAGCCTTCTGACAAAATGGAGCGCATGTGGATTCCACTGAAATCAGCTGTTTAAAGATTATAGCCGGACGGCAGAATCCCCAGACAGGTTTCTTTTTTACCCACTGCGGTTTCCAAGGTCGACTCTGTGCCCGTACAGTGCGGGCTGGCATGGCATGTTAGAACATGATAGCATGATGTTTGCACATGAGACGTTTGCACAGAAATTTGTGTGACGCATGCCTATCAGGAAGCTAACGCTAGAATGTTTCGTACTCTCTCGCACCTGGTCGACGAGTAAGCTGTCGGGTCGGCACTGTCAGAGGCACCGCCATGCTGTGAATTCGGACGCACCTGAAAAAGGAAGCCGGGGAAGGCGCGGAAGCGGGGGGGCATGTCGTGATTGTTCCCCTTTGTCGCCCCGGTTGTCCTGGATGGAACGTATTGGTCGGATGCCTCGTTGAACACCGCCGCAGCGATGGCGGCTTTCATTCGTCTCCTGATCCTCCCCGAGAAAGGCCCGCAAAAGAGAAAACGTCGCAAATCGGAATCGTTGAGTTTGCACTTGTATGAGATGGAAGGGAACTCGTCGGCCTCGGCCTTGTTCATGTGCTCGTCGCACCACAGCCCGCTCAGCCTTCTCGTCCGTGGTGGCACGCCCGTACACCTGGTACGGCCTGGATGCTCGCGGCACCGACTCCGCAAAAAGAGCGTTCTTACTATACCGTCCGATCGTCAGGCAGATGGCACGGCACTTGAACGTCTCATATACGAACGAGTACAGCGAGTCTTGCGATTTCGCCACGTCCACCTTGCCGGAGCATCCCACGAGCTGCCGAAAGACATTGGGACCGACATGGAACCCCACAGTGAGCTGCACGAACATCTTGTCATACCTCTTTTTGGCATTGGCCCAACGATTCCGAGGAATAACGAGCTTCACCACCTGAGTCAAAATAGGAACCTCGGTGGACATCATGGTGCGCCTCAGCTCCATCGCCAAGCTTTCCGCGGTACGAGTGTGCGTGCGGCTTCGCGGCGGCAAGTTCGCGTTGCGAGGACTTCCGTGCTGGTTTCTGTCACCGCGTGGATCCTTGAACCTTGAACGATCGCGTTTGTCTGACTGTTGTCCACAACGGGCCGCCATTGGCCTTCAACCTTGCGCTCCCGCGATGGCGTCTGCGCCTCGTCGACGCAACCCGAACCTGCCGTTCAGGTGCCAATAGAACGATTCCGTTGTGCGACGTTTTTTCTTGAGGGACTTGCACACGTTTCCTGGCCCCCTCCGACTTTGCCGACGCCGTCGGCGAGGGTTTCGTGGAGTTCCCGGCGGGCTGTAGGCCTGGGGCCCACATCGGCAGCAAGCAGTTGGAAACTGCAGGTTTGGAGAGGATCCGATTTGGGGGGTCGCTGCAAGACGCACCAGATGGACCACCTCAGGCGCGAGGTTCGCCAGCACGCGTTCCGCGACAGTTCCTAGCGCGAGGAGAGCGGCGAGAACAGGGAGAAAGAGTCTCCAGAGGCCCGTTTCGGGCGCCGCCGGGGTCATAACAAAGAACCCTGACAAAGAACCAGTCCCAGGGTGATATCGAGAGGTCCGCGGGCGCACGTTTCAAAAGAAAAATCACGACCTCGGATGTGTGGGGGGGGGGGGCGGAAGGCAGCGCGCGCATGACGGATGTTGAGGCGGCAGAAACGACGACAGCGGGGACGGGGAGGCGGAGGCAGAGGCGCAGCAGCGGGAGGCGGGAGGCGGGAGGAGGGAGGAGGGAAGAGGAGCCAGGCGGAAAGCGGGAAGAGGGAGGCGGGAGAAGGAATGAGAGAGGTTGTCATTAGAGCCCCTGTGCTACGAAACGTCTCAGGCAGAACGGGCCAGACCATCTCGCGCGCAAAATCTTCGAGTTTCGCATTGCGAGGATGTCTCAAGCGAAATGGGCCGGACCACCTCGCGAGCGAAATGTTGGAGTTCAGTGTTGGAAGGATGTCTCAAACGAAACGGGCCGGACATCCCTTCGCACACGTTCTGACAATTCACGTCACACTCGATTCCCATTAGGCCCTCTCCTGCAACTCCCTTCCTTTTCCCTCCTCCTCCTCCTCCGCCTCCTCCTCCCCCTCCTCCTGCCCGCTCCCTCATCCGCATCATCTTCATTTTCCCTTCCATATCCTCCTCCTTCTCCTCCTCCTCCACCTCTTTATCCCGAACGGCATCTCGGAGCCCACTGTTGCGAAGATGTCTCCAGCGTAACGGGCTGGACCACCTAGCGCGCGGCATCTCGGACCCCAGAGTTGCGACGATGTCTCGGGCGAAACGTGCTGCGAGGAAGTCTCAGGCGAAACGGGCCGGACCACGTCGAGCGCGGTGTCTCAGAGCTCCGAGTTGCGGGGGCTTCCTCGGGCCTCCTGGGGACCTCGTGGGGCTTCCTCCTGGGCTTCTTCTGGCCTCCTGGACCTCACCTGTGGTGGTTTCCTGAAGCCGCTTGGGGCTCCCAGGGGGGATAGCTAACATGTGGTCGTCTGGGCCCCCCCAACATCACAAGAGCACGAAAAATCAGCGACTCGGCACCGGATGTGTATTAACTTGACACGTTCTGATAGTGGGCTTCTGGGGCCTCTTGGGGGCCTCCTGGGAATCTCCTGGGGACCCCTGGGGCCTGTCCTGGGCGTCCTGCGGCCTCCTGAAGCTCTCTGGGGCCTCCTGGGGCCTCCTGGGGCTCCCAGGGTCCCAGGGGGGATATGTAACATGTGGTCTTCTGGGCCCCCAGGCTGGGCCACCTCTTGCTCGGTATCTGGGAGCTCAGAGTTGCGAGAATGTCTTGTGCGAAACGGGCCGGACCACCTGGCGCACGGCATCTCAGAGTTCAGAGTTACGAGGATGTCTCAGGCGAGACGGGCCAGACCACCTCGCGCAGGGCATCTCAAAGTTCAGAGTTGCGAGGATGTCTCAAGCGAAATGGGCTGGACCACCTCTCGCGCGGCATCTACGAGGTCAGAGTTGTGAGGATGTCTCAGGCGAATTGGGCTGGACCACTTCTTGCGCGGCAGCTCAGAGCTCAGCGTTTCGAGGATGTCTCAGGCGAGACGAGCCAGACCACATCGCGCGCGGCATCTCAGAGCTCAGAGTTTCGAGGACGTCTCAGACGAAACGGGCCGGACCACCTCTCGCGCGGCATCTCGGAATGCAAAAGTGCGAGGATGTCTCAAGTGGAACGGGCCGGAACACCTCGTGGGCGGCATCTCGGGGTTCAGAGTTCGGAGGATGTCTCGAGCGAACTGGGCCGGACCACCTCTCGCGCGGCATCAGAGAGCGCAGAGTTGTGAGGATGTCTCAGGCAAAACGCGCTGGACCACCGCGCACGGCATATCAGGGCTCAAAGTTTGGAGGATGTCTCAGGCGAAACGGGCCAGACCACCTCTTGCGCGGCATCTCGGAGCCCAGAGTTTCGAGGATGTCTCAAGCGAAATGGGCTGGACCACCTCTCGCGCGGCATCTACGAGGTCAGAGTTGTGAGGATGTCTCAGGCGAATTGGGCTGGGCCACTTCTTGCGCGGCAGCTCAGAGCTCAGAGTTTCGAGGATGTCTCAGCCGAGACGGGCCGGACCACCTCTCGCGCGGCATTTGGGAGTTCAGAGTTTCGAGGATGTCTCAGGCGAAACGGGCCGGACCACCTCTCGCGCGGCATTTGGGAGCTCAGAGTTTCGAGGATGTCTTAGGCGAAACGGGCCGGACCACCTCTTGCGCGGCATTTGGGAATTCAGAGTCGGAGGATGTCTTACGCGAAACGCCCAATCCTGGACAACTCAGAAACGAGAGTTTCGAGGATGTCTCAGGCGAAACGGCCCGGACCACCAACATTTTTTGAGGACGTCTTTGTTTTGAGTTTCCTCTGCCGGAGTTAGCTTCTACCACAACAGCACCCCGTTCAGCAAGTTGTTTGGGGAATGATTTGGAGAGGACTCCTTATGGAAAAGGAGTGCCTCTGGGATCTACGAGTCCTCCCGAATCCTCCCGCATCATCCTATCTCCTCCCATCTGCGTCCAGAATTATCCCGCAGAGTTGGCCGTCCAAGAAGCACGTGGACTGCTTCAATCGACAATTTTCCTGGGATCGTTTCAACACCAGCATGGAGCGTGAATTGCACAATGCGCACAGGCTCTGTAGCGTCGACCCGCACGACGGGGGGAAGGGTGATGGAGGAGGAGGAGCTGAGGAAAAGGAGGAGGGAGGAGGGCAGAAAATCGAATTCTATTTTCAGCAGATCCTCACCTGCGTGCTCCTTATACCTGTCCTGTGCACGCACGCACTGTGGTGTACACCAGCGTTGTTTTGCACGCGTATGCTGTGGTGTACACAGGAGCTGCGGTGTGCACAGCCGCTGTGGTGCACGCAAGCATTGTGGTGTACACAGACATTGTGTTGCAGACGGCTGCTGCGGTGTACACGTTCGCTGTGGTGTACACAGGCGCTGTGGTCCACGCAAGCACTGTGTTGTGCACAGGCGCTGCGTTGCACACGGCTGTTGCTGTGTACACGGGCGCTGTGGTGTACACGCGCGTTGTCGAGCATTGTGTTTGTACGGAGGCGCCTTGGTGCAGATCGCCACCTACATGTGTTGTTCCTACTTGGCCTCGGTCATTTGCGTAGGCATTCCGGGACGCCGCTGGCGCGGAACGTGACGTGATTTGTGGAGGGGGGCGCGGGGCCGATGACGGCCATTATCGCGGGCAAAAAAATCAAAACATTTTTTTTCAGATGCTCCAGGGACCATGACCATGACCAAGATGTCGCGACATGTTGTCGAGGTCGATTTTGGTCATGGTCCCTGTCGGCCGTCGCCGATCCGCGAGCATGATCCCCGAACTGATGCTGACCAAGATCGACGGTGACCGAGATCGGCACGACGTCTCCGCGTTCAGTCTGTGTCATGGTCCCCGTTCTCTCTTCCTCCAGAGTATTGGCGCCAGGGGCTCCCTGCCCAGCCAGCGTGCGCTGGGGCTGCGGGAGCGACCACCGTGCCGTGGGCAAGCTCGGCGAGCACGGGGCTCTGGCCCCGTGCTCCCCCCGAAACGCTTGGATCTCCAGCGCTATCCCTACGACGAAACGGCCCCAAGTTCGCCACTCTGCCCGCACGAGGTCACCACCCACCAAACCACCCCAACCCAACCCGAAGGCTCAGATTTACCCTCGATTTCCAGTGTGGGGGGTCGGGAAACATAGAAAAAACACATGTGGAACCCTTACCCCCCCCAACCCGAAATTCGGGTCTTCGGGTTGGGTTGGGGTGGTCTGGTAGGTAGTCAGCACGAGGTTTTTCGTCGCTGTCGGCATCTCGGGGCCGTCGCCGGGCCCCAGGACCGTCGAAAGAAGAGTCAGGATGCAAAACCAGCCCTGGGAAAAGGGTCGGAGTCCCGCATTGACAAAACAAGACCTCGGATCTTTGGGAAGCAGGGCCGAGACGCAGAAATATGGAACAGTTCGGGCTCGGAGGGGGCTCGCTTCGTCGTTCCTCGGGTCCTCGCAGGCAGCCTGCTCCTGCAGCGCCCCTCGTGCACCCAGCGGTTCCGGGGCAAATATGGAGCTCCGTTCCTTGCCCAGCTTGCCTCAAGGCAGTAGCTTGGCTGCACTGCACCGGCGTGCACGTCGGCAAGCCCTGCGAGCTTCACTGGCCGCGCTCGGCCGCTTGCGCCTACGGCACCCCCCCCCTTCAGCACCGGACGCTCCTTCGCTGAAGGTGCCGTGGTCCTGCGGTGCGGCCTCCCCGCTCCGGGACAAGCTCGGGGTGCACACGCGGATTTTTTGTTCGGCACGGCTCTCAGAAAGGGGCGAGTTGAGACAACGGCAGTTGGCCCCCTCGTCGCCACGGCAGGACGCAGCTCGGAGACCAGCGCATTTGGACCCCGGGAGGGGTCCAGGGATCGATTTTGAGTTGCCGTTGTCTCAATTCGCCCTGCTCTGAGGCTCGGGGCCAGAGATCCCCAGATTCTGTGCTTGATTTTTTCATTTTACGCTTCGACGGCCCACTGTGGCCTGGATCCCAAAGTCGTTGACCACTGCTCGCGAGACTAGGTCCCTCCTTTGTCCATCATCTCCTCTTTCCTGTCCCCCTTTGGTCTTGGTGTGCGCGTTCAGTTCTTATTTGCATGATCTCGTCCCCCTAGGTCCAGAGGTCTTCTTCAGAGAACAAGAAGCTGCATAAGCATAAATGTTGGGAGGTCTGCGCTGATATGTTGAATCGGCGCTGGGCCCCCCTGGCAGCGACTCCGGCGCCGCCCCTGCCGCGCTCCGCGCGCCAGTGAGGGAGAGGGGGGTCCACCGCCCATCCAAGAGATTCGCGCGAACCTGGGACAGATTCTGTTTACGCTGCTTGTTTCTCCTCTGACGTTGCATGAGCATGTGTCTGTGCACGCGTGTTGTCAAAACATTGGGGTAATGGTAACTTTAGTCTCGGACGGAGAAACTCAACGCTCATTCAGTCCCTTTGAAAATCACCCATGTGAGCGCAAGTGGGGACAAAATCATAATAATCGGCGATCGCGTGCCACTATCCTCCAAATTTGGCCACTCACAGACGGACGAAAGTAAGAGATGTCCCTCACGTCGACGGGATCCACTCGACATTTGCGGTGCGAGCGGCCGCCTTGCGATCAGCCGCGCGCCAGTGCATGGAGAAGGGGTGCGTCAGGAGGCCCTGAGGCATGTTAGGTACCTGTTGTGGGTCGTAGGTCAGTTTTGAGAGTCTTGGGGCTGGCTGGAGGAGTCTTGGAAGTGTCCGCGTGAGCGTGTTCTTGGGCCTTCTTGGGGAGTTGCATCTGGTTGGTCTAGACCAGCTTTGCAGGATGCGTTGCTTGACAGTTGAGAAGCTATTTGGAGCCAAGGGCACACTAGTGAAACATCAGTTCTCAATGCGGGGGGGACATCTTGAACGTCTCTGCTCTGAGACGCTCCGGTACGCTCCGTACGAACTCGTCCTGTTTCATAGTTTGTGAGATTTACCTCGAGGAAGCAGGAGGGAGGATGAGGAGGGAGGAGGAAGAGGAGGAGGAGGAGGAGGAGGAGAAGGAGGAGGAGGAGGAGAGGAGGAGGAGAAGGAGGAGGAGGAAGAGGCGGAGGAAGAGGAGGAGGAGGAGGGGGGGAAAACGAGGAGGAGGAGGAGGAGGAGGGAGGGGAAACCAAGGAGGAGGGGGAGGGGGAAAACGAGGAGAAGGAGGATGATGCTTGACCCCACACTTGGCGTTTGCTGAACGCTCTTGGCCTCTCACTGGAGAGTCCTGCCCTGCTCGGTCCCGTCCTTGGTTGCGCTTGTACTCCGAGCCGTACCTCCCCTTCCCGCAGGGGCCTCTGCAGGGGCCTTTGCGGTGTCCTTGCATGGGGGCTTTGTAGGGCCGTTGCAGGGCCTTTGCAGGGCATTCAGGGGAGAGGGTAGGGAGATGGATTCAAACCTACAGTGAGCCCGCATAGTTAGGATGAGCAGTTCTCCGAGGTTACCCTTGCATCCTTCCCCTTCGGCCCATCCTTGGCCGCTTTCGCTGGCCGCGCCCCGCTGGCAAAGTGTCGATGTGGCCTTCCAAGGCCCTTGCATCCTTCTCGTGCGCTCTTATTCTACGGGTTGGTTGTAATTCTATGAGAAGACGGAAGAGAAGTCGCTTCAGACCACCTACGCCCAGAGGGCTGGTGGGATTACACGATCTCCCTCCAGCCCCACCGGGTCCGGCTCGGAGAGCAAAGCATTGCGCAAGCCTCATGTTTCGAAGGTCCGCGCGGATCTCTTGGGTCGGCGCGGGGCCCCCCCTGGCGGCGCCTCCGCGCCAGGGAGGGGGGGGGGCCCAGCGCCGATCCGAGAGAGCCGCGCGGACTTGGGAGCAGTTCCTGCGCATGCCGCTTGCTTCGTCGGCCGACGCCCCGCGAGAACATCTTCCCGCTCAAGATCAGGGAGGGCCTGATCCTGGAGGCGAACAACTTCCTGCGAAGCAAGGGTGCGCGCGCGGCCTCTTCTGCGCGCCCGCATCCGGTGCCAGTGCCCAGGGTTTGAGCGACGCGAGGAGAGGTCCTGAGGGGAAGAGGGCCCTTCTGTGACGAGGGCTGCACATGTCCACCGCCCCGGGGGGAGGCCCTGGACCATCCCTTCACCCTAGTTGCATGGGGAGAAAGAGGAGGAGGAGGAGAAAGAGGAGGAGGACCAGAGTAAACCCAAGGGTAACCAACAATGTTGGGATAAACCCTCCCTCCAAGCTCCCTCTTCACAGGCCCCATACATTGGTTCATTTTCATTGCAGGAACTGCCTCTTTGGAGGACAACCGTTTGAAGACCCTGAAGCATGCCAAAACATTGTTATTGGGATTTCCACGCCACGGATCAACCTGACTGTTGCGCCGTGACAATCCTGAATCGTGCCAGAACGCCATTCCTGGGACTTCAACACAGCGAACCAACATAGCTGTTGCACGCGCATAACCCTGAGTCCGTTTAAACACCATGTGTGGCACGTGGATGATGGGAGTCCATGACTGTTGTTCGCAAATTGTTAGAACTAATACGCGCCGCGCTAAGGCGAGAGTCACATGTTGAAAATCAACCGCCCTCAATTCGCGAAATGCTTGCAACTTGTTATAACGAATGTGCGCCGCGCTAAAGCGAGAGCCACATTTTGAAAACGACCCGCCCTCAATCCGTGAACCTCTTGCAAATATTTAAAACGATTGTGCGCCGCGCTAAGGCGAGAATTAGATTCTGAAAACCACCCGCCCTCCATCTGTGAAACTGCTGCCACTTGTTAAGCTTCAGAGTCATAGATGGTGAGGAAGTGTCAGGCGAAACGCCCAGCCCGCCCTAAAAACTTGCTTCGGGGTGCGACAGGGAGAAATGAGTCATAAGGAAAAGGAATGGATGAGAAGGGGGAGGAGGAGGAGGAGGAGGAGGAGGAGGAGGAGGAGGACCAGTGTAAACTCAACAGTCATCAACGATGGTGGAATTAACCCTCCTTCCAAGCTCCCTCTACATGGGCCCCAACAACAGCTCATGTCAATTGAGGGAACTGCCTCGTTGGAAGGCAACCGTTTGAAGACCTTGAAGCATGCCAGAGAAATGTTCTTGGGATTTCCACGCCACGGATCAACTTGACTGCTGCGTGCCTGACGATCTGGAAACGTGCCAGAACGCCCTTTTTGGGACTTCAACCGCGAACCGACAGAACTGTTGCACCCGCAAAAACCCTGAACCCTTCCAACACACCATTTATGATGCGTTGATCATGAGACTCCGTGAAACTCTTACAAATGTTTGAAACGAATGCGCGCGGCGCTAATGCGAGAGCCATATCTTGAAAAGGAACCGCCTTCAA